CCCCCCCTCCATACACACCCATTAATCACATACTGTTATTATTATTTTATTTCTTATTAATACACACTTCACTGAGGCCGTTTCTGTAATTGAAGTGTGGAGTAGTTTGACATGTTTAATTCAGCCAGAGGATGTTTTTCTTTTGTTCAGTCAGAACTAATGTTGTAACGGAGGAGAATGAGAGGAAACGTATCAACGTCACATCTAAACCATCAACTGAGAAAACCCAGTACATTTAAACTGATGTCAGAACTTTATCCGAACCTCTCTGCAGGATTCCTCTTCTTACATTTATTTATTTTATTTAGTTCGATCCCCCATCAGCCGCCATATTGTGACAGCGGCTACTCTATCTACTACTAACGCTTCAATGACAACAGATACATCAGTACACATCCATATCACACACACAACAACCAGCACCAACTCCAAATTGAGAAAAGAAAGTTTTGAATTCAATCTGTTAAGTCACAAAAAAATAAGACAAATAAATAAATCAGCATTAATGTCAGTGCGGGATTGTTTTTTAATATTCTCATCGCAGGTGAAAATGTGCTTCGTCTCCGTACACTGGAGAGTTGGGCGGGTGTATTGTCCTTAAGCTCCTGGGATGACTCATAAGTGTGTGTGTGTGTGTGTGTGTGTGTGTGTGTGTGTGTGTGTGTGTGTTCTCTCCAATTATACTCCCTTCATCTGTCTAATTATCAGAATTAGAAAAGGAATATTCTATGCATCCTCTGTCCTCATGCGCACGAACAGCACACACACACACACACACACACACACACACACAGCACTGAGAGGGTGAGTCAGGCTTCTGAAGCTCTAAATCTGTCTACACTGACCCCCTCCTCTTAAAGCACCACTCCAGAGAACACACTCCGAGTCTCCCTGTATCTCAAATCCCTCTGTCTTCCTCTCACACTCCTCCGTCATTACCAGTGTCTTTTAACACTGAACCGTAGACGGCTTTGTGGTTCTACACTCCCGGCCTGCCCGTCTTTAATTTCCAGCGATATCTTTTAATACACTTTTTCATGCACATCATCTCCTGAGCTTGATGAGCCGCAGCTCTTTATTTGCATTTAAAGTATTCTTATTTCCGAGCAGCAGTATTTACATTTACACCTCCAGTCAAGTTTTAATGCAGTTTAAGGTCAAAAGAAAGGTGAACGGCGAACGCAGTCTCAAGCATCAAAGAGAATAACAGATATTTACTACGAGCTTCTTGGGCAGAGAGGAGTAAAGAGTCTCCTGTGCAGCTCTAATGTTTGTTGTGTTACAGTATTTTACAATAGATTTGGCTCAGTTATCACCACAGACGTAATAATAAGTGTTATACTGTAAAAAGTTTAGGTTAAAAAAGTTTATCCAATAGCAGCGAGGAGACGTGAAGCGGAAGCAGAAGTCTGTATTTTAAAAGGAGATAAATGAGACTTCTGAAAACGTCCATTTCATTTATTTAATATGCTGAGTTGCTTTTAATGTAGACGAGTCTGACTTCACTCTGCATCGTCGTTGTGAATAATTTCCTGCTCTGTGTTCCCCATAAAGTTTGGTTTTATTCAAGACAAAAAGAATGAAATTTAGCTTTTTAGCTTTTTTTTTTTTTACTGGTGGTTTTTAGTATCTTGATGATGTCACTTCCTGTGGCCCCGCAGCTCACCCAGAAGGAGTCTCTGGTGACGTTACTGGACAACCGCACGTGGGCCAAACAGGGCATCGCCGAGGAGTTCGACTACATCGGACACTCCCAAGCCTGGAAACACCCGCAGGTCAACGTCTTCGTCACCCTGGTCCTCTTCATCGTCATGAAGGTAGGAGATTTTAGGTTATTTCACTTCAGCTAATACAGACAAAAGTATATAATAATTAAAAGTAAATATAGAAAGTTATGTTCCCAGGAGGCCATTTAAAGTTTGGGTCCAAAAAAAAGAAAATCAGGTAAAACTGTTGACGGTTAAAATAACAAATATCACCAGTGGCAGATTGTGTCTGCAGTTGCTAAATAACTTTCATTCCACAGAAGCTTAAATGAAACGTTTGCTCTCTGCAAACTGGTGTCTGAACTTGGCCAAAGATTGTTTGTTAGAAGAGAAACATCACTCTGTGTATATATACGACTGTCTCGTTTTCTGGTTCAGCGTCTCGTCTCCACAAAAAAATCATCTCATGCTGCAACAATCCCAAGAGAATCTCCGACTTCAACTTTTATCATATATCTGTTCTGGATTGATATTTTATCCTTATCAGTGAGGCTCATGCTAAATAAGGTGGAAAAGTAAGTGCCGGTTATTGTGTTATTGCTAATGTTTTCCAGACATTTTTAACATTTCAGAACAACTCTGTGGCTCAACCAACCTGCTCAAGCTTCTCGACCAACAAAAGCCGATTACAGATCTCAGAGTTTCAGAGATTTAGAGCTTTAGTTACTTGCAAATGTTGACAACCAAACCCAATTAGAGTCAAGAAGGGATTTGAAACTTAACTAATTATATGAAAATTCTCTCAACTTTCAAGCATAGATCATTTGTTTTCACTTCAAAGTCGAGGTTGCATAAGGGGAAAGATCTAAAGATGTAAAAGGAACCGAGCTCAGCTCTTCACGATGATGCAAAGAGAAAACATCTCTGATATATAAATTTTTATCACATTTTCAGAAATGCGCTTTTCAGTGATGTTTATACCGTTTAGTGGCAAAGCGGCTGTTGACGAGCTTTAAGGTTGTAGGTGAGGCAAGGAGACGAGGTGCAGAGTCAGAAATAACAGTGAGGATAAAATATATAGCAAATTACTTTAAAGTGCAAAAATCATTAAGAACAGCAACTGGTTTTCCATCTCAGCTGGGAGTGTCAGTATATCTGAGGTTAAAAGCAAAAAAGCATCTATATAAACTCTTTGGATCCCAGCTGATTTGATTCTGCCGAGGTTAGAGACTCGAGGGGGAGGTGCAGTAAAAGTATCAGTACTTGGCTCAACTCCCCAGAGTCTCAGTGAAGAGGAGAAAAACAGCCACTGTGATATGAAGTAGTGCAACCGAGTCGCTGCTCTCTTTGGCCTGATGAACAGTTACTTTTTATTCATTTTTCTCCTGTGGAGTAGAAGATGTTTGTGCTGTGATTACATTGGCTTTTCTTTTTCTTTTTTTATGTGACCTTTATTTACTCAGGCTGCTCTCTTCAGCTGAAATGAAATGTCCTTTTCGAATACAAAAAACAAAGGTTGTAAATCTCTCCTCACTGCATCAAGAGGTGTGTGTGTATGTGAGTGTGTGTGTGTGTGTGTGTGTGAGTGTGTGTGAGTGTGTGGCTTTGGACTTTATACAGCAAGTAAAGTACATCAAGAGAGCCCAAAAGTGCAAGTGGGTGCAGAATAGATTGCTGCTGGGCTTTGTGGTTGTGCATGCTTGTGTGGGCAGTTGGCTACAGGCAGATTTAGGGAAATAATTTTGAAATGTGTTTTCTAAACTGAATCTGTTACTGTCCTTGACATTGAAAAAAGTTTTATTTTTTATTTATTTATTTACAGAAAAAGTACATGTAGTTTTGTCAACTAAAGTTATACAGAAAACGATGTTGGTTAATAAAGTATCACTTTTTCTCTGAGATGCTTTGGTAAAAACGCACAGCACTGTGTTATGTTAGCCATAAGTTAATAATTGCTAATATCCATTCTATTAAACACTTTGGTGGCTACAGGAAAATAATTATTCCATTAACATATGAAGGTTTAAATAGGAATAAACCACCTTAAGCTCTTTGTACACTATATGTTATTATACCACTATACTGCAAGGGGAGTGTTTAAAGACAGTATTATATTAATATATTAATAATGTTTAGCCTCCCTCCCCACTAAAATCATTTTTTACACTCCCTTACCAGAACATTTCAATGACTTTATGACTCTTCTCTATTGTGCTACTTTTACACTATTTTTTAGCATTCACCATTATCCGCTAATTGTAACCTGTGGCTAAAACAGCAACTAGAAGTTACACAATCACTTTAAAGCCCCTATGTATAGACATAGTTCTTTATTTATTTATTTATCTTTTGGTGCTTCTGTTACTTTTCAGTGTGTTTTGTTATCTGTCTTTTTTTTCTTCTACCACTTGGAGTCTCCAAAGTCAAATATTTTCAAGTTGGTCCTTTAATGTCAAACCAAATAAACTGAATTGAATTAATAGAGAAAACATAGCACAACATCTTCTCCTTTTTATAGATGGATGAAGTAGATTAAGTTGATTAACTACACAAATAACTTCAGAACAAAAACACAGCTCCATCCACAGATGAGTTGAACTACTGCCAAGCAACCAGCACAGCAAAGTGTTGTTAAAAAAAACAAAAACGGTGAAACGAGCTTCCACCGCTACCCAGAGGCTCCGGTTTCAACGTTATGTAAGCACAGAAACTGATGGTGCGACAGTGCGTGCTGCCGTAATGTAACTGACTCACTGTCTCTTTTGTCATTGTGTCTGAACAGAACAACAGAGAAAGTCTCTCTCAGCCTTTTGTCTGCCACGAATTTCTTAAAAATGACTTGTCAAAAACCTGATTCTGTTGATTTCATAAAGCAAGCTTCACTGATTCAACTCTCCTCGATGAAACCCAGCTGTCTGCTCTGTCATTCCTCTGTGTGTGTGTGTGTGTGTGTGTGTGTGTGTGTGTGTGTGTGTGTGTGTGTGTGTCTGTGTGTGTGTGTGTGTGTGTGTGTGTCCTTGAGCAAAATGATCCGATGGCTTTCAGCCTTATTCCTCTGTGTGACGTCTCACAGACAGGGGGTGTGTGTGCATGTTCTTGCATTTATGCATGTGTACGGTTACAAAAGACAGATACAGTGTTTCCTATATGTGACATACATATAGGTGAAACACATTAAGTATAAGGACAAACACACACACAAACACACACACACACATATATATATATATATATATATATATATATACACACCACTTTTTGATCACCCACCTGCACAAATGCCATCAAGCTGCTCTCAACATCTGTGGGCATGCACTGACTTGTGTCCTCTCTCTCACTCACTTACACACACACACACACACACACACACACACACACACACACACACGTACACACCAGATCTCATATGACACACACACAGCATTCAAAGTCAGGCTGTAATGGCTCTGTCTAATTACAGCCTTTGGTTTTCCTGGATTCAGCCTGGTGATTTTCAAAAGGGGTGATTGCTCTCTCCCTTTCCCTCTTGGTAATGAATGGTTCTTTTATTCGCCTTGGCAGCCATCTTGTCTTGTTGCTCCTTTTCATGCCGAAAACTTGACGAAGGCTCCCGTTCCAGCTGCTGAACTTTTCAAAATAAAGGTGCGCAGAAGGCGAAGTTCTCGTTAGGAGGTCAGCGAATCAAGCTGCTAGAGATACTTTAATTACATGTGGTTTTTAACGGCACAGAACACGACAAACACAAGACACCAGGTCAGAACTGAGTGTGTGGCTGCACTGTGTATGGTCAATGTGCGAAACTGAAGACGTAATTAAAAAAAACGCTGTAAACAACTACTTTAAGTCGTTAAATGGCGCAACACACATGACATCATCACGTATTTCAATAAACTGTTTTTGTTAACAGAAATCGGAACAAGTATGAAACGGTGACTGAATCGCAGCCCATTGAGATTACATGAAGCAACAGAATGTCTTTCCTGTTTTGTCTGTCACACAGTGCACAGCCTCCGTCTAGGAGACAAACTGCTGCTCCGCCTCTCTGCCAGGTTTGGTCAAAAAGTCACTAGATTTATCACGAGGTGCTTTTTTATTTAAAGAAATAAAAGTCCTGTTGTGGGACGTAATAGAAAGTGTTTTCATTTTGAAAGAAAAACAGCCCATGGGAAAAGTCCCAACATTTGGCCGACGAATGGGGTAACTTAATCACGAACCCCAACTGTCTCACTCACTCACTCACTCACTCACTCACTCACTCACTCACTCACTCAGTCACGGACATTCGGGAATGTAGTGCTGCAAAAAATGCGTCCTAAATTGAAAAGGCTGAAGATCACTGCACCTGTCCTGAGAGTTTTTGTGCATCTGAAGCTTTTTTAGCACACTCGAAAAACCTGCAAACTAATTTAGCATGTTCTAAGTGCTATTTTCAGTGGTGTGCAATTATGCGCATCAACAGCTCTTAATACAGGAGTGTGTGTGTCCTCCAGCCTGTGTAAGTCCTCTGTTATCTATCAGTGTGTGTCTGTGTGTGGGTGTAAGTGTGTGTGGGTGTGTGTAAGAGTGACAGAGAGCTGGCGGGACTGTAATTGGAGCGGGAATAGAAGATGGGCCCCTGAGGGTCCCTTGAGGGCCCCGGGCGATAGACTGTCCTCTGAATGTGACACACAGAAGCACAGACGTCTCCCAAATGACTGACAAATTAAATAGAATATAAATGTCCTGGATAGTGCGTCACAACTGATACCCTTGACCGAAGTATCCTTTAGTTCTCGCTGCTACCGCACTTATGTTCTAGTGTTTTTTATTCCACTCTTTAGTTCCCCCCTTCATTATCTATGTTTAGCCCATTTCTAAAACTGAAATGCTGAAATATGATAAATGGCAATTAATCATAGAATAGATCAATCAGATTACTTTTTTCTGCCATTTGGAGCTGTATTTAGAGTAATACCGGCAATCTGATCACATTCACAATGAAGTACTCTTAACACTGTGAGGAAGCCAGTTCTGGATGCTATCAGAGAGTAGGCTAACGTTAGCGGCTCTGTTCTACTTTACACTTTCATGGCCAAATGCGTCATCCAAGACATTTACCAAACACCTTGATT